CTCACATCGACACGCTCGTATTTTCACTCGCATCGACTCTGCCCGATTTATCACATCTCACCCACGTCTCTGTCACTTTTTTATATCTCTGACGCTCACATTTCGTCTTCACCACCTTCACCACCCTCGGAAACGCCACAAACACGCTCTATTCCACCAACACGCAAAACACGTCCTCCTCACACCCACTCAACCTTATCCACAACACTCTCAAACTTCTCTGCCATATTTTTCATCCCGTCACGCTCAAACCGACACTCAACCCTCGCCCCGTCATTCATCCTCCGCCTCCCTCGAAATCAACACGAAAATACCCAAAAAAATCGATTTTATCGTTATTTTCCCACGGTCATTTCCCTTGTCACACACTCCTGTCGTCAGTGGAATGCCCTGCTTATGGTGTATGATGCACTATTGTGTCTCTCTTTTAGTTTTGCGGTCCGCCAAATGGCTATGCAGCAAGCCAAAAATGTTTGAAGATGTTCCCAAAGCGCCACTGTGGCCAGGAGTTGGGTTTGCCACTTACCGGAATTTGCCGCCTTCTTCTCTTTTCAACCACTACCTTCCGCACGCAAGTCGCGGCTGTGAGTGAAGAGGTTGAGATATATGTCTCATCCCCCTTTGGTCACAAGTTCATTATTCTGTTTGTCTGTGTCCCTGTGTGTGTCTGCGTGCTCGGACTCTGCTATGTTTACTGGCTGGTAAACAACCCTGGGAACGGTCACTGTCCTGGACACAAAATCACCTGGATATGGCCCAATCTGGGCTCGTTCTCTCACCTCAAGATTTCCAAATTGCGGTTGGAACCGTTTCATCAGCTATGGAATCGTTCTGAATCTGAAAAACTAGGTCGTCCTTAGTAGCGGAAAAAATAGGTAGGCGATTTTTTGGTCTGTGAGACCCTCCCTCTTGAATAAGTCCGCAATCGCTCATTTTCTGCCCGATCTTGGACGTTCCGGGCTCAAAATGACGACAGCAACGTCCTCAGTCAGCACCGATCAAAATTTGAACAAAAACGGTGCGCAAAACGTTCATGCCGAGGATATACACGTCGGTGAGTTTTCGCTTCCAATAGTCCATTCACAAAAGTATGTTCGCATTCGCTCAATATCAGCTCGATTCCTAACGTTATGGGCGCGAAATAATGGGACGAGCCAGTAGCATCGACCACGATAAAGGTTTGATAAGACAAGGTACGCCGATCGTCGAGAACAAGGACGATAACGTTGGTACGTTTTCGTCTCCCATATACCTGTCTCGAAAGTCTGTTCGCGTTTGCTCAATTCCTTCTCGATTTTCAATGTAGCGGGCTCAAATTTACGGAGCGACTTAGCTCCATCAATGCCAATAAACGTTTAGCAGGACACCGGCCACTCATTCTTGAGAACGTGGCAGAATGTATCGGTGAGTTTTCGCTTCTAGCACCCCTTCTCGAAAACGTCTTCGCGTTTGCTCGATTATCGTTCGATTTTCAATGTAGCGGGCTCGAAATGACGGGACCACGCAGATGCACGAGTCACGATAAAAGTTTGGCAGGGAACGGGCCACTCAACGGCGAGAACGAGATGAAACACAATGGTGAGTTTTTGCCTGTGGCATCCCGTTCCGAAAATGTGTTCGCGCTGGCTGAAATGTTTCCCTATCTCCAGTGCCATTGGCTCGAAATAACAGCATAGGTACGGCCTATTATCTACAGTGTATATTTGGAGAGAAATGACCTACACGTCGTCTATAGCGAGCACGAACAGCGAGGTGAGTTTCACTCTCGGCACCCCCCCTCCTCAAGACTCAGTTCGTCCTCGCTTATTCTCAGTTCGTTCCTCAAGGTAAGTAGCTCGAAATGTCGGCCTTCATATGGGCCATCGATCCCCGTTCGCCGTCCTGCGTACTACCACTGCAAACGGACGTGATAGATGCTAATATCCGAGGTGAGTCATGGTCCTAAAATGTTCCTCTTCGAGTTTTTGTTCGTGTTTGCTCATTCTCGGTTCGATTTGGATTTATATAGGTTCAAACTGATGGGAACGGTTGGTTATACCTGCAGCCGACAAGGTTTGATGTGAATCGACCCCGTAATGAGGGAGATAGAGCGGTTTTGGTTCGGTAAGTTTTGTCTCTCAACTCTCCTTTGAATATTTGCTCGCATTGGCTCAATACCGGCTCAATTTCTATCGTTGTCGGCCTTATCTGACGGGATGCACTGGTACTACGTTGTGCCATCCAGGTTTGAAGCAAAACGGCCGGGAAATAGTCGAGAACGAAGTGTTTTATCTCAGTATGACATCCCCACTAGCCCTCCCTTCTCCAACGTTGTCTCGCGTTTGCTCAGTTCTTGCTCAATCATTTCAATTCAGGGATAGATAGAACTGCTGAGATACAAATAGCCTACCACCTCGAAAGTTTGGGGCGAAACCATGGTGCATTGACCAAGCTAGACGGGATTGTAGTCGGTGAGTTACCCGTCAGCTATTTCCATCACAGAAAATCACTCATAACTTCTTCAATATCGGTTCAAATCTCGATGTTACGGGCCAAAAATGACGCGAGAAATGTGTGCTATCCGTCACACATTGGTACAAAGTCCACTGGCGGAGAACGATGAGGATTCCTGGGGTAAGTCGTCTCTCAATTACTCCCCATCTGAAAATGACTTCGCGTTTCACCAATTCCGCGTCGATTTGATTATTATCGGGCTCGAATTCAAGGTATGGTCCTGCCCTATTGTCCGCGTGAAAGGTTTGGGTCGAATCATCCGTGCCGTCAAGGAGATTGGGGTGAAACCTCCCGGTGAGTGGCCCACCCAATACTCCCCATCCGAAAATCATCTCGCGTTTCACCAGTTCCGCGTCGATTAGACTAGTAGTGGGCTCAAATCAAAGGTAGGACCCTAGGCTCCGATACCCGCGAAAGATCTGGGTCCAAACGTCCACACCATCACGGATATTCGGTCATAACATGCCGGTGAGTGGCCCACCCAATACTCCCTATCGCAAGATCATTTCGCGTTTCACCAATTCCGCGTCGATTCGGGTCGTAGCGGGCTCAAATTTAAGGCATGATGCTAGACTACCATCCGCGTTAAAGGTTTGGGTCGAATCGCCCATGGCGTCAAGGAGATTGCGTGAGTCCTCCCAGTGAGTAGCCCCCACCCAATACTCCCTGACGGAAAATTGTCTCGCGTTTCACCAATTCTGTCTCGATTTGAATGGTAGCGGGCTCAAATCAAAGGTGCGGCGATAGGCATTAATCGCCGCCAAAATTTTGCATCTAGACATCTGCGCCATCGTAGAGATTCATGGGACCTTTGCCGGTGAGTGGCCACCCATTACCCCTGCCTAAACTCGTTTCGCATTCAATCGATATCGCGTCGATTCGGGTCGTAGCGGGCTCACCGTAAAGTTAGGATCCTAGGCTCCAATTCCCGTGAAAGATATGGGCTCAAATGTCCACGCCATCGTGGCTGTTCGGTCAAAACATCTCCGTAAGTGGCTGCACCCTAGATGATCGCATAAATCCGTGAGTTCATTCTATAAACTCATAGTTTTTACATATTCTGACTACTATATATGTCTAATGACGTCACCGGAAAACGCCTGCCACCAGCATCCCTCGTTATCTCGCAGGACGCCAGACTGCCTGGGGTGTATGTGGCCCACATGCCACTCCCCCTGGCTTATCGCATAACTCGGTCAGTTTCTTGTATAGGCTCCTACTTTATACATATTCTGACTTTTCTACATGTCTCATAACTTTCCCGAGAACCGACCGTGACCAATCTACCTCGTTGTTTCGCAGGACTCCATTCTCACTGGGGGTGTATGTGGCCCACATGCCCTCCCCAGAATATCGCATAATTCGGTCAGTTCGTCATATTACCTCTTACTTTTCTACATTTCCTGACTCGTCTACATGCCCCATAACCCCACCGACGAACGCGCTCCGCCGATCGCACTCTTTATCTCGCATAATCTCATTCTCCCTTGGGCATGATGCGCCCCCCTACTATGGTGCGCTTTTTTTATTTGAATTTTTCACTTTTTTTTTTGGTGGAGGGCACTCCTTACACTCCATTTTGAGGGTCCCTATTCAGTTTGGGGCTTCCGGACGCGTTCCGCGTCCGGAATTCGAGTTTTTGGGTGGTCGACTTCACCCACTTACCTCTTCGCCCCTCCCCCCGACCTCTTTCTTTCCACGTGCGGTTATTTTTCCCTTGGGCCACTCCTCATACACGGTGTATTCCTACGACCTCTCATCGACGTTGGTGGGCACGGTATTGCGCTCTCAATACCGGTTTCTGTCTGCGAGGCGCACGTAGCAGCATAATATGGGTGGCAAATCACGGGTCTGAAGGACGGAGACCTTGAATCCCTCCTCGGACATCAACACCTCTGCAGGCAGTCACATCTTGAACATACCAGACGAGGTAACGATGAACTTATAACCAGTTAGACATACAATCATGTTCGCTGACTGACCACTGCGCTGCTTATTGCTGACAGGCGGCGGACTGCAGGCGTTTGACCACCAGTATGTAGAACTCACCCGTCACGGCATAGCCCATTCTCTGTCTTGGAACAACAATTTATTGTTGTGCTGAAGTAGAATACTCTATTTATAGGCCATCCTGATCTTCCGTCAGATTTTGACACGCTTACAAACTTGTCGAAGAAACGTCCTGTCGATGTAACAGAGACAACTTCAGCTACGGTCGCAAAGCGACAGAAAACGCACCAGCTCCTAGGAAAGATGAAAATCCAGATAGTGAGTGATGCTTCACTTGTGTCTATTCTCCTGAATATGCTTTCATGTACGGTAGGCCATGGCCGAAACAACGCAGCCAGACTCTGCCCCACAGTATTTCGAGCCCGACGACTCTGGTCTTGATCGTTTTCGTATCACTTACATAATGCGACTGAGAAACGTCTCAAAAAACCAGCCAAAGAAAGCAGGGAAGAAACCGAAGGAGGGACCATCATATATACCAGGAGCTATCGGCGCTTAAGACAGAAGTTGCGTTGGACGGTACGTGATTCCGAGTTAGACAGACTCCTTCTCCATCGGACAGCGGTCCGTATCATCTCTTCCCCTGTAGAAACGGTAGTCTCTGGATTCTCCCTGAATTTCGATGGTGGATATGGTTTTGTCATCCTTGATAAGACTGTCCTTCGCACCCATATTTTCTTCAAATTAATGGAATGGGTTTACTCGTCAGCTTCTCTTCGCCGTTAGGTTGACAAATGCACAAATCTCACCCCATATGATTCCAGAGACCGCTTCAAGTTTATCATTGGCTTCGAAGACTCTCGTGAGGGCTCACTGTCCGGGAGCCTCATCCGCGCGATTCGCTCGTTTCACGACGCGCTATCACTCAGCCGCATCAAATATGCAGCTCTCTGGGATCTTTTCACGAAATCGTTCGCTCCTGGCCTGGTCTTTGAGGGCTACCCTTCTTACATAATCATCCACCGCGACCGTGATCAAAGCTCATCCGTGGTTTCGCGAATGATATCTCGCACTCTAGAGGGACTTGAGGATTGGGGCCATTAAAGGACTTCCTTGTGTTTTCGCGAAGGTCGTAATTTCTATGTGTCTGTAGGTTTGCTTAGTCTCCTGGAGCAGAGTAGCCAATTGCTTCAACCGGTTGGCGCAAGGATCACTCGTTTGCTGCTTTCCATTGCATTTGCCTTCGCGACTGTGGCGAGCGGCAGAAGTGTGGCAAGATCTAATCTAATCGTCTTTATCTCTCCGGTGGCGTCGGCGCGCGACTCGAGCCTGTTTTGCGCCACTATTCTTGAAGTTCTCCTCTCTTCGCGAACACCAGCACTCCCAGATTCCAATAACTTCCCCTCAATATCGATCAGAGATCGCATTCCTCACTGTAGTTTTGATAGGACAGGCATGTCTGCATGGTCATGTTTCCTCCCGCGGGACTTCCAGTGTTCAGCCAACTGCTTCTCATCCCGGACCAACTGGCCGCACCAGCAGATTTTCTCCTTCACGACATGGTATCTTCGCACCTCATATCACGACAACTATCCTGGGGAGGAATACCACCAGAAATATCTTCACCCAAAGCTATCGTGGTGTTTCACAGTAGCTTGGTCAGTGGAGAAC